ATGTAGAGGTCATTTAAATCGATATCATTTATTTGGTTGACAATATCAATGTTACAAGTAATAATGTTTAATTTTTAATGTTGTGTAAAAAGCTTTTTTTTCTCTTTTTTTGGTGTATTTTACTTGAAATACACGGTGATTTGATTACGTGTGGTTTTAGAAAAAAAACTCGGCGTGGAGGCGCTCCGGGGTTACTGCCGATCCCAAGCCCAGATTAATGAGCACGGTTGGGCATGGGGTGAGAGACCCCATCCCGTACAAAACCAACTATAAAAAATGCTAGCCGGAAAGAAATATTCGAACCATTTAAATTCTGCTTTGGGATTCAGAAGGCCTTTATTTAGAAGAGTTATGATTCGTCATGGTGAAAGCCGAGTTCCTTCAGAAGTCAAGAGGCTGATGCTGTTTCTGACAACCAGAGCAACCATTTATTTAGGTACATGGAATGTTCGTGCAATGTGGGATACCGGGGATGTCTTCGAGATTGCTGTTGAAATAATGAGGCACAGCATGAAGCTGCTTGGAATCAGAGAAAAACATTGGGCACAGGTTGGACAACAACGACTAGCTTCAGGGGAGCTTCTGCCATACTCCGGCCATGAAGAAGAAAATGTCCCACATACACAAAGAGTTGCATTAATGCTATCCAAGCAAGCACAAAATGCACTCACAGGATTGGAATCTCATGGACCCAGGATCATCAAAGCCTCCTTCAAACACAAAGAAAGAGGACATTACAATGAAGGTCAACCAATGCTATGCACCTATCAACGACTACAATGAGGACTTTGAAGATCAATCCTATAATAGGCTGTAGTCGATCGTCGAAAAGTGCCCAACGAAGGACTTGACCATTCTGATGGTTGGAACGGACAACACCGGATATAAAGGCATCATGGGACGACACGGACTGGGAGAAAGGAACGAAAATGGTGGGTGGTTCACAAACCTATGTGCCTTCAATAAACTGGTCATGGGAGGCACTATATCCCCACATAAACTCATACACAAACCCATACGAACTTCACCGGATCACACTATGCAGGACCAAATCGACCATATCTGTATCAACAAAACGTTTGGGAAGATGTGAGAACCAAGAGAGGAGCTGATATAGCATCAGATCATCAATTGCTGGTCGCCAAGATGAAATTGAAACTCAGGAAGCACTGGACAACAAGGTGGACAATACCACAAAAGCTTAATACGGCTTTTCTCCGGGATACTGACAAGCTCAACAAATTCAAAATAGCCCTCAGCAATAATAATAATAATTTATTCTCAAATAATAGTTTGTTACATGAGGCATGCCAGTTTACAGGCAGGATCAAATTGATACAAATAATACAATTGAGTCCAGGCCTTTCACGATCTACTCAATGGAGAGCAACTGGAAGGGGATCAAAGAGGCAATCACTTCAACATGTTATGAGGTTCTGGGCCACAATAAGCACCATCACAAGGAATGGATCACTGTTGGTACACTGGATAAGATTCAAGAAACGAAGAATAAGAAGGCAGAAACCAATATCAGCCGAACAAGAACAGAGAAAGTCAAGGCACAAACTGAATACACAGAAGAAAACAAGCAGGTGGAAAGGAGCATCAGAACAGACCGACGTAATTATGAGGGAGATCGAGCAATGACGGCGGAAAAGGCTGCAAGAGAAGGAAACATGAGACAATTGTATGACACAAAAAAGCTCGCTAGGAATTATCGTAAACCACAACGTGCAGTGAGGAGCAAGGAAAACGGAGTAATCACCAACATTGAAGAACAGCGAAAGAGATGCGTGAAGCACTTATGGGGACTTTTGAATCGACCCAGCCTCACTGAACACACTCAACATCGAAACAGCACCCACGGACCTCCCAATCGATGTTGGTCCACCAACAATTGAAGAGATCAGCATGGCCATCAGACAAATCAAGAGAGGCAAATTAGCAGGACGAGACAAGATTCCAGCAGAAACACTGAAAGCAGACGTAGCAGTAACTGCAAGGATACTCCTCACTCCCTTCAGTAAGATTCGAAATGAAGATCAGATACCGACAGACTGGAAAGAAGGACCCCTGACCAAGATGTCAACGAAGGGCGATCTCAGCAAGTGTAACAACCACATGGGCATCACTCTTACTTCAGTATCACGAAAAGTCTTCAACAGGGCATTGCCAAACAGAACGAAGGATTCCGTAGACACGTAACTTCGAGATCAGCAGACCGGGTTACGGAAGGATAGAACGTGTACCAACTGAATCGTAACACAACGGATCATTGTTGGATAATCTATTGAATGGAATTCACCATCTAACACCAGCTTTATTGACTACGAGAAAGTAGTTGATAGCTTGGACAGGACAATATTATGTAGGGTTCTTCGGCACTGCTGCATGACTGAGAAGATGGCCAACATCATACGGAATTCTTATGATGGATTAAACTGCAAAATCGTGCAGGGAGGACAGGTCACAGACTCGTTCGAAGTAAAGACCGGTGTCAAGCAAAGTTGCTTACTCTCAGCCTTTCTCGCTCTCCTGATGATCGAATGGATCATGAAGACGTCGACTTCTGGGGGAAACATGAGGTACAGTGGATAGCTTGGATGCAGGTGGACGATCTAGACTTCGCAGACGATCTGGCTCTTCTATCGCACATGCAACAACAAATGCAGGATAAGACGGCCAGTGTAGCAGCAACTTCATCAACAGTATATCTCAACATACACAATGGGAAAAGCGAGGTTCTCTAATACAATACAACATGCACCAATCCAATCACAATTGACGGAGTAGATTTGGAAAATGTAAAAACTAATACATATCTGGACAGCATCATAGATAATCAAGGGTGGATCTGATGCAGATGTGAAGGTACGGGTCGGCAAAGCAAGAACAGCTCATCTACAATTGAAGTACTTCTGAAACACAAAACAACTATCTGTCAATCACCATCAAAGTCATAATTTTCAACACAAGTGTCAAGACAGTTTGTTATATTGTATGGGTCAAGAACTTGGAGAAATTCGAAAGCCATCATCCAGAAGATACAAGTGTTTATTAATAGCTGTCTACACAAAATACTTCGGATCCGTTGGTCAGACACTATCAGCAACAACGTACTGTGTGAGAGAACAAATGAGATTCCAAAGGAGGAGGAAATCAGGAAGAAGCGCTGGAAGTGGATGGGATGCATATTGAGGAAAGCATCCAACTGTGTCACAAGGCAAGCCCTCACATGGGATCCTCGTAGCCAAAGGAGGAGAGGAAGACCAAAGAACACATGACACTGAGATATGGAGATAGATTTGCGAAGAATGAACAACAATTGGATAGAACTAGAAAGGATTGTTCAGGACAGCGTGGGTTGAAGAATGCTGGTCGGTGGCGTATGCTCCATTGTGAGTAACAGGCGTAAGTAAGCAAGTAAGTAGGTAAATGTCTTCAGAGATTAGTGTTGTTCTCATTAAGATTCCAAAAAATACTGTCTTTCATACCTACATATCAAGAGAAAATCAGAAAGATCACACGATGTTATAAGCTTGGAAATTCGTTCAGATGCATTAGTGAGTGACCTTTTGTAAGTGGATTATTCTTCTCATTGGATTATAGAATACAACATAAATTATAAAATGATATGCAGTAGATTACTGTTTCAATAACCTTTCCCTTTTTACAGTACACCACTTGTTTGATACTGTTCAGATAAGTTCATAGGCGAAAATGATAAATTTGTTTTGGAATACCATAAATGATCAATGGTTCACTAATCAGTCCCAAAAATATCAATAGAAAGAAATTCAAAGTCCTAATAATAATTACGACCTGGCTTTTGTAACCTAATGAACGATACTTTCACGTTTGAAGTGGTAACCATTTGGCTCAATACAAATACAGTATAAGTACATCCAGATGACAGTTTTCAGATATAATAGATTGAAAACACAGAATCGAACTTCACTTTTTTATCAAATACACCTGAAGTTATCAATGGGATTTTTGACCCGTTTGTTTTATTATGGATAGTTTTCAATTATGTGTTTCACGGGAATACCATATGAGAATGAGGACACGGTGTAGTTTGTATTTTAAAATAAAAAAGAAATAATTTGTTTTTAATTGAGATCATGTACCGATTGATGTTAGACCACCATTGAAAACTTGGAAGTACTGGACGATCATTTCGTCATATTGTGGGACTCCTCAGCAGTGCACATACACGAATAAATTATCTAATCTTAACCTAGTCATCTCATTTTTCATCCAAATTCCATATATCATTCAAGATAGCATTTCATAATGTAATTTTGAATGTCCTTTTAAAAACATATGCTACTGAAGAATTATGAAGATTAATATCAGATGGGTTTTGTGGATACTATAGTAATTTCAATGGTTAAAATCATGAGTCACTTGAAGCTAGACTGCCATGGAAAACCCGGAAGCACTGGACGGCCGTTTGATCCTATTGTGGGACTCCTCAGCTTTGTGCATCCATGACCTCGTCTCCTGCGAGATTCGAACCCAGGACCTACTGGTTTAGCGCGCGAGCACTTAACCACTAGGCCTTGTTAAAGATAACCCTAGTCAGAAGCCTCTCCTTAGTACGAAAGTCAGGAGGATTTATAAGTTTTCCAAATCTTCTGTTCTTTAAGGTTAACACAAAATTATCTTACATTTTTAGTCGTACAGATTAAATTGTTATTAAGTAGAAATTATATTCTTCTTATTGATTTCGTAATGTGATACTTATATTAACCTTATATAACACTTGAGTTTGTAACACACATCCTTAATGATTTTAAAAACTAGGACACTAGTTGGTACTGAACATATAATGAGATATGACCAGCTATTTACAACATGTTAGTTATTGATTAAAATACTCAACTGAAATAAGTTTTTATACAAACTGTTAACTTGCTAATAGACAACTCCATGTTACATCTATTTGTTAAGATTTCAGGTAATTACTATGCTTTATGATACGATATTATAAAACTTCATTGACTTAAACGATCATCATCATCATCATCATCATCATCATCATCATCATCATCATCATCATCATCATCATCATCATCATCATCATCATCATCATCATCATCATCATCATCATCATCATCATCATCATCATCATCATCATCATCATCATCATCATCATCATCATCATCATCATCATCATCATCATCATCATCATCATCATCATCATCATCATCATCATCATCATCATCATCATCATCATCATCATCATCATCATCATCATCATCATCATCATCATCATCATCATCATCATCATCATCATCATCATCATCATCATCATCATCATCATCATCATCATCATCATCATCATCATCATCATCATCATCATCATCATCATCATCATCATCATCATCATCATCATCATCATCATCATCATCATCATCATCATCATCATCATCATCATCATCATCATCATCATCATCATCATCATCATCATCATCATCATCATCATCATCATCATCATCATCATCATCATCATCATCATCATCATCATCATCATCATCATCATCATCATCATCATCATCATCATCATCATCATCATCATCATCATCATCATCATCATCATCATCATCATCATCATCATCATCATCATCATCATCATCATCATCATCATCATCATCATCATCATCATCATCATCATCATCATCATCATCATCATCATCATCATCATCATCATCATCATCATCATCATCATCATCATCATCATCATCATCATCATCATCATCATCATCATCATCATCATCATCATCATCATCATCATCATCATCATCATCATCATCATCATCATCATCATCATCATCATCATCATCATCATCATCATCATCATCATCATCATCATCATCATCATCATCATCATCATCATCATCATCATCATCATCATCATCATCATCATCATCATCATCATCATCATCATCATCATCATCATCATCATCATCATCATCATCATCATCATCATCATCATCATCATCATCATCATCATCATCATCATCATCATCATCATCATCATCATCATCATCATCATCATCATCATCATCATCATCATCATCATCATCATCATCATCATCATCATCATCATCATCATCATCATCATCATCATCATCATCATCATCATCATCATCATCATCATCATCATCATCATCATCATCATCATCATCATCATCATCATCATCATCATCATCATCATCATCATCATCATCATCATCATCATCATCATCATCATCATCATCATCATCATCATCATCATCATCATCATCATCATCATCATCATCATCATCATCATCATCATCATCATCATCATCATCATCATCATCATCATCATCATCATCATCATCATCATCATCATCATCATCATCATCATCATCATCATCATCATCATCATCATCATCATCATCATCATCATCATCATCATCATCATCATCATCATCATCATCATCATCATCATCATCATCATCATCATCATCATCATCATCATCATCATCATCATCATCATCATCATCATCATCATCATCATCATCATCATCATCATCATCATCATCATCATCATCATCATCATCATCATCATCATCATCATCATCATCATCATCATCATCATCATCATCATCATCATCATCATCATCATCATCATCATCATCATCATCATCATCATCATCATCATCATCATCATCATCATCATCATCACTTATTTAGTACCTGATTTAGCTCTCGTACTAACCGTAATGTAATCTACGTTCGCGGCCTGTTCTTTTTATATCTGGGCTACCTGTATCTCTTGTCAACATATCTCAACATGTGACCTATATTTTATCTGTTTTAACATATCATAATGGCTTAGAATTGCATAACCTTGTAGTGGTATATAAATCCACAAAATCAGTAGCTCTGTAAGTCTGTGACATTGGATGCTAACCACATTATTTTTAATGAACTCACCTAGTTGATGGTGCTCGGTCATGTATCCACACTAGATCTCGAGTGGGAACGCCATGCTCAACATCCCATGCAATCGCCAGATGGTCTAGATTAGTCGATTCTCGATATATTGACAGCTTATCAATTATATCATCGAACTTTGTCGCTTGTGACTTTTGATTTCATCAGGTGTGTATGATTCATATTATAAGGTGTTACTGATTAAAGTGTTGTCAAACTCTAAGTACGTGTGGCATCTTCAGTATTTATTAATATAAAGTTTTGGGAAGTTTTAATTACTTGATACTTGTGAGTAGTCCCTTACAGTAGCATCTTACTTTGGAGTCTTATTCTTCATATAGCTGTGTAAATTTTATCTTTAAGTTGTTTATCTACATTTTCAGAGTTTTAATGAAGAGATGAATATAAGAACCAAGCTATACTTAAGTAAACAAATCTTAAAGTAAATAATTAATTAATTAGCATGACCAGTGTTTTCATCCGGGTCTGCTATGAGATGGTAACTCGCTGAACGCAATGATGGATGTGTCACTCAGTTTCGTGGATTAGTTGAAGTTAAACATTGATACCGTTGGATGCCGGCTCAATTGTCTAGAGGTAAGCATTTGCCCGCGAGACTGGAGAATATGAGTTGGAATCGTGGATGCGCACTGCTGAGGACTGCCATACTAGGAAGAAACAGTCGTCCAGTGCTTCCAGGTTTTCCATGGTGGTCTTGCTTCAATTGAATCATGAATTCAACTTTAAAATTATAAGTTTGTGGGTTGTGGAGATTGTTAAGTTTTTGATTGAGATCATGAACTGATTAATGTTAGATCACCATTGAAAACCTGGAAGAACTGGACTGCCGTTTCGTCCTATCGTGGGGCTTCTCAACAGCGCGCGTCTACGATCCCGCTCGCAGGATTCAAACCCCGGGCCTTCAGTCTCGCGCGCGAACGCTTCACCTACTGCAAAGCCTAAATTCATTGTTTATATTACTTATATACTTATATATTAATCATGATATATACATTCCATTATTTCTAATTATGTAAACAACTTGTACATTGTTACGTAACTTCTAAATTTAACTGTAATTCATATATTTTCTTGGTATTTTTGAACATTATTTACGTATATAAATGAACCCAACACCCTTGTTATTTAAGAGAGAATAAGAAACCATAAGAAAATTGTACAGTTCAACGTATGCCAGTCTAACAAGAAGATTGATGTAGGATAACGGAATAATAATTGATTTGTTTGTTGTTGTTTTTTTTCATAGAAAAGAAACTATCAAATTTCATTTGTATCTTTTACAGTAGTATAACATTATCTATTTCATATAAAGCTACAAATGTGCTTGTTTGTGTGTATGTGTTCGTTTGTACTTTCACTTACTTTAAATACTTTTCCAAGTGTATGTATATGTATTTGTGACCCATCAATTAACTGATTAAAACAGTGCAGTTCTCTTGAACACCCAAGAAGTCAATCCAATTTGTTTGTTTCCTGTGTTCAATAAATCTATCTCATACATACATTCACATAGACACTGAGACACATTAAACTATTAGGCATATTATTAGTAGACTTTAGTAATCCAATAATATATATTACCGTAAAATGGTGTGTCACTATTTAAATTCACCATAATTACATAATGCTGCAGATATAATTTTATATAAATTAAGCGAGACTGTAAGTTATGGATGAACCAATGAAGTATAAGATAACAGGTCTCGGATTTCGGTGTGAAATTCACTCATCCATTTGGATAAATAGAGTTTTGGCATTATAGCTGGCGTCAGTTCGTGATGAAAACCCGTACTGTAATTCCTAACTTTAATCATCAACTATAAATCATAATTCTAATTCCTCATACTGGTTTATAACCGTCATTTGATCTTAGGTATTAGGTGAACACTCTCAAGGTCACTTTAGCGTTGCTCAAAGGTCATCCATAAATTATAGTCTCACCATAAATTAAATAACAAGCGTTGCAATATGCTTTCAAAATTAACGTTAAATATATCAGTTTAAACATAACTGGAAAGTATTTTTAATCACTTATAAAATGAGTATAAATGAAAACTTGGATCTATACTTGATGAATCAATTGAATTGATTGAATTAAAGTCTGAAAAGTTATTCGAATGGGTTTACTTCATAAAAGGAGTTCATTAAGAAGTGTATGGTCTAAAGAAATTTCTTGAAAAGTGAATTATCTCAGATTAACTCAAATACAAGATATCAAGAAAATTCTGAAAGGTTTAATGAGAACCTACTTAGAAACGAAAGTCAATTGAATATTAGACTATTATTATTTCGTGTATGGAATTTGTAGAAAAGTCAAAGTTGAGATTTATAACTTTTTTTATTTGTGGCAATCATAGCAGATTATTAGCGTTTTTACCGTTGCCTTATCGAGTTCGTTTTCTACGGGATGGGATCGTTAACCCCATACCTAACCCTTCTCCTTTATCCGGGCTCGAGACCGACAGTAGTCCCAGAGGGGCTCCAGGAGGAGTTATATATATATATATATATATATATATATATATATATAACGTTCTGTGTATTCTGACCAGAAAGTATCTAAAATCTTTATGTCTATTGTTTTCATTTACAATATATGATACATTTTTTCTATTTATTAACATAAAAACAAAAATACCGCTCTATTCAAAAGGATTGAATGAACAATATTCTTATATGGTTACTGAAATTTCTATTAACTAAATAGTAATGTTAATTAAGATTGTTATTATCAAAAGTGACTTGTAATGATTATTAAAACACTTTTGAATTTTCACTTGGCATTCTTTATTTGAATGTTCCAAATGATGTTTTGGACTGTAATTGATCAGTCTTTTTCTCTCTCTCTCTCTTATTGGCATATGTGTATACTCTGTGTGTATTGCCTCGATACTGCCTTAAGTCGCAAGCATTATAAGCAAAGATGAATAGTGGCTAACAGTGGAATTTTATCAATAGAATATTAGCTTGAATTAAACTATGCGAAAACAATATTTTTGTTGTTGTTGTTGTTGGTTGATTTAGTAACTAAGAAATTCAGAGTAGTAGATTACCTAATCAATTTAATAAGATTATATCGTAATGTAAGCATATTCTGTTAAGATGTCAGTTGGAAATAGAGTATTTAGGTTTATTGTATATCGAATAATGATCGTGTCATGAAGTATGTCAAAACCAAATGAATAATTATTTTCACTATAGCCATGGAATGAAATTGATTTGTGCATAAATTTCATGTGTATAGATAAACGTTGAAACATCAACTCTTGGATGCAGATGCATTCAGTTGCCGAGTCCTAAATAAGACGAAATGCTTGTCAAACTAGATTCGATTAGTAGCCACTATTCATCTTTGCTTATAATGCTTGTGACTTCAGGCAATATCGAGGCAGTCCGTACAGGATGCACATGTGCCAATAAGAGAGAGATTGGTCAATTGCAGTCCAAAACATCAATGGGAAGATAAAAGTAAAAACAATACCAAGTGTAAGTTAAAACATTTATGTCATAAACACATGTTTTTTTCCCGATTAAACGCCATGAACAATCTGCTGTAACGAATACATAAGTTTATAAATACAAATATCGATCCGAAATTTTAAATTCATTCATTATCCGTAACGCTTAATGCATGAAAACGTCTGAGATGACCCATTTACTTATTTACTTACTTATTTACTCCTGTTACTACTCGTGAAGGAGTATGGGCCACCTACCAGCCCTCGCCGTTCAACCCTGTCCTGGACAATTCTTTCCAGTTCTTCCCAGTTGTTATTCATCTTTTTCATATCGGCTTCTATTTCTCGACGTAATGTGTTCTTTGGCCTTCCACTTTTCCTCTTCCCTTCGGGATTCCAAGTTACGGGTTGCCTCGTGATGCAGTTTGATGATTTCCGTAATATATGTCCTAATTTTCTCTTTAGCTGGAAGCTGGATTGTCCTCTCCCATAGTAGGCTATCGCTCATGGTATCCGGCCAATGGATGATTAGTATCTTGTGTAGACAACTGTTTATAAATAATTATAACTTCTTGATGATGGTTGTAGTAGTTCTCCATGTTTCAGTTCCGTACAGTAGGACTGTGTTGATGTTCGTATTGAAGATTCTGACTTTGATATTGGTTAACAGTTGTTTTGAGTTCAACCAGTATCTGAGGAGACTTATGAAGAATAAACTTACAAGTATATTCATTTAAGGGCGTAGATATGAAAAATTTCACGCAAATATAGGCCCCCAAATGCCCTGGTACGGCTGAGAGTGGGGAGAGTCAGCTCTCCCTCTCCAAATGATTTCACATGGCCACGTGCATACAACCACTGACAGGGAAGTCCTACTCACTACCTTCTCGGGGCATTACTGTTATTTACGAAATTAAGAGGATGAAAACCGAATGTCCGGTGCCTTAACCGGGTTGATTGACACAGAGAGTCCACCTGGGGGAGTTGGACAACCATGATTCCAAACCAATGGTGCACATAGGCTCCAGTATCTTGAGGGAATAAATGGCGGATGAACCAATCGTTGGTCACCAGCTACCATGGGACTGCATCTCTTTACGTCGCTCCACTGCCTTGTGGATTAGACTTTTAAGTATTAGGCATCGGGTGTGGCCGTCTAGGAAAACCACCTGTTTCGGTTTGGGCACCCAGGTAGTATCCCAGCACTCACACAAATTGAATGATTTATGTGGTGCATATCTATTTGGTGCCTCCTTGCACCAATATCTATGTGTTAAAATAAATAAATAAATAAACACAATTATAGACTGAGGAAGTGATAACAGTAGAAATACCTTATTTAAGTGTTGTATTCATAGAGTTGATATGCTTACATACCGTAATTTAGTTTTTTTTTAGAATGACAGTTAAGTATTATTTGCATTTGGATAACTTTAACCATACATGACAATGATTAGTTAATCATTTTAAATGTTCATCAATTTGTTATTAATCAAATGATTTTAGTACTGAAAGAGACATGGGTCTGTATAACTAAATTAACAGTTAGTCTTGAGGAAGACCAGAGAGATGTGCAAAAAGCTATAAATTTACCGATCATATCTGGAAAAGCCTAAATCAAATGGTTAGATAAGAATTGCAAATTGAGTTACCATCTACTAAATTGACAAATGCTTAAAAACTCATTGAGTTAGACTCAAAGAACTATAAAAAGTAATGACTACCAAAACTTAGACTTACAAAAACCTTACTAGATGAATATGAACAATGGTCGGGAACGAAAGTGAAAGAGATGGAAAGGATAAGAGCTATGGACGACACTGGACAAATATCCATACCCATCAAGGAAATAGGTAAT